GTCCAGGACCTGTCCTCTCCCGTCCAGGACCTGTCCTCTCCCGTCCAGGACCTGTCCTCTCCCGTCCAGGACCTGTCCTCTCCCGTCCAGGGTCCGTCCTCACAGTTGGCACCTGGACGTCCGTGTCTCTAACAGGAACCTGGTCTCCATCCGTCTCTGGACCAGTTCTTGGTGTTTGACGCTGCTTCAGTCCAGAGTCTGAAGCTGGAGCAGAGACTTTACGGGTCACTGGAGCCGAGCGTCTTGTTGGACCTGGTTCTGGTCTTCTCGGGTCTGAAAGTGAAGACCAGGAGCAGAGTTAGACCACTGGAGCCCCTCGGTCCCAGTTTGTGTCCGAGGTTCTGAAGGACCTGGAGTGTTTGGTTTACAGACGGACCTGCTGGAGGGTTCCTGACCGTCACCTGTCCCTGGGTGCTGGACAGTCTGGACCTGGTTCCTCTGGACTTCATGGTCCTGGTAGGACCTGAGGAGGGTTAGAGATTAGCTCTGTAGTGGACCTCAGACCAGCTGAGGTTAAACCTCTCACAGATCCTCAGACCTGGACCTGGTTTGGTTGAGAACTTCTTCAGGTTCTTCTTCTCCACACAGGTGGTCTGTCGGGTCCGGGTGGTCCCTCTCAGTGGAGTCCTGGGGGGTTCTGCTGATCCTGGAACACACAAACAAGAGTCAAGTCCCTGAACAGAGTCCTGAAGAGAAGCAGCTGGACCTGGTTCTGACCTGTCCTTTCTGCCTGAAGGATCCCACTGAGCAGAGCCGCACACTGGTCCAGACCTCGGTGCAGACTGGAGACCTGAGACCAGGAACATGGTTCAGCTGCTTTTCTTTCTTTTAGCCTGTAGCCACTTTAGCTACTATCTTTTAGCATGTAGCTGTGGTTCTTCTCTCCTGTTCATAAAGGACTTACCTGGTCCAGAAGGAGCAGGTTTTAGGTTTTAGTGAACTCACCTGGTCCTCAGAGTCTGAGGAGTACAGCGAATAGACCAGGTCCGGTCTGGGAGAGGGTCCAGGACCAGGACTCTGTCTGATCACATGACAAGGACAACGTTACACCTGAGACACAACAACACACCTGAGACACAACAACACACCTGAGACACAACTTGACACCTGAGACACAACGAGACACCTGAGACACAACGAGACACCTGAGACACAACGAGACACCTGAGACACAACGAG